CCTGAGCCACCCAGTGTGAGGCTCCGGGCCATGCAAGGCAGTGTGAGGGCTGAGGCACAGGAGAGAGCTTGGCCCGCAAGCAGGGAGGGCTTCCTGCAGGAAGCACCGATTTCCCGTCTCCCCAAGTTGGAGACCTCCATGATCCTCCTGCTAGCTGCCTTTAGTTGACCCCTCTGTTCTGTGATTTTGCCCTGCTTTTCCATCCAGCCCTGTGCTAGTTCAGGCCCTGCCCCCTCCCCGATCTCTGGCCTCCAGGCCCCCGTCCACACTGTGGCAACTGGAGGCACTAGGTCAAAAACCCAAGTGGCCTCGCTTTTTGGCCTCGCTTTTACTCACCTGGCTCCAAGCTCCTCGGGGTTAGCTGGGTCTCAGCCTTTCTAGTCTGGCCGGCCCCTGCTGATGGAGTCATGATCCACCTCCACCCCCCCACCCCACCCACCCACCCCCGTCCCTGCTCTGGCCACCTGGGGACTTCATCCCGAGCTGCAGCCCTCTGGCTTCCCCTCCTGCTCAGACTGCTGTGCCTTCATGTACCTGCAAAGGCTTGCTCAGCTGTGAAGTTCCAGTTGGCTGACACCTCTTCTAGGAAGTCTCCCCACCTTGCACCCAGACTCAGTCCTCAGCCCTTGGGAGAGGCCCTAGGTAGCCCTTGGGGGACAGTGGTCACAGTGTGCCCCTTGCCCACCAGGCTGTGCTGCTCCCACTAATACCTCGGGCTCCGGGGTTGGGGGGAGGTGACGGGGGGGCAGCACCTGTGGGTGAGCCTCCCACCTCATTCCTGTTACACCCTGCCCAGGCCCAGCTGTTTCTGTCTGTGGAGTCCTTTGTGACTTAGTCTCAGCAGGGCCAGCCAAAAGACACCCCCAAAACTTTCTCAGCTCCAGGAATGAGGTGGGAGGCAGGGGTACATGGGGACACAGAGGCACCAGTCAGTGCTAAGTTTGGAGAGAACACAGGCTCAGCCCTGGGAGGTGTGCCAGCATGGGCCTGGGGCCCAGAGCCAGCAGGGACCCCTCTCAGAACTGAGGGCCAGCCAGAGTAGATCCCGGGTAACTGGGGCTGCAGGTGTCTCCAGCCCCTCCCTGTGGTCCCAGAGGCAGGTCAGCACATCTGGAGAGGTCGGCACCTGATGTGGATGGGAGGCCTCCAGCCTCTGCCAGCTGGGCGCTTCCCAACTCAAACGTAGGAGTCCAGGCCGGGAGGCGGGCACAGGCCGGGGACGGGCAGGCCTGGGAGGAGGGGGAGCCCCAGCCTGGGGCCGGTGGGCGCCGCTGAGACTCCTCTGGCCCTTGATAGCTCTGGACACGTCCAACGTAATGGTCAAGAAGCAGGTGTTTGAGCTGCTGGCCGCCCTGTGCATCTACTCGCCCGAGGGCCACACCCTGACCCTGGATGCCCTGGACCATTACAAGGTGAGCAGTGGGGGCTGGGGCCTGGGGGGGCCTGGGGGCACACTGACCCCTGCCTGCCCCGCAGACGGTGTGCAGCCAGCAGTACCGCTTCAGCGTCATCATGAGCGAGCTCTCAGACAGTGACAACGTGCCCTACGTGGTCACCCTGCTCAGCGTCATCAACGCCGTCATCCTGGGCCCTGAGGACGTCCGGGCCCGCACCCAGCTGCGCAGCGAGTTCATCGGTAACCCTGCCCGGACCTCTGCCCCTTCCCGGGGAGATGCCCCGCGTCCCCCACTCCAGGGCCCCAGAGGAAGGCTCTGTCCTGGGCTTGGCAAGCCTCCTGCCCCCACCGGCTCCCTTCAGTGGACCCAGGGCCTTGAGACCCCTGGACGTCAGCCCTCGAGGGCTCTGGGTACAAGTCTGCCCAGCAGTGGAGGGAGGCAGGCTGTCTGATACCCAGTTCCAGCCCTGCTGGTTGTGGCAGTGGCCAATGAAGGGACACAGCTGTGTATCCAGTGCAGTCTTCGTCCAGAGCCTCGTGTCCCCCCCACGTCCTGTGGGAATGGGTTCCCCTCCCGCCTCACAGGCTGGGTGCTTTGGGTGGTGGGAGTGAGCCCAGGGCAAGGGCGGAGGCAAAGGCATCGCAAGGGGCAAGTGACCCCGGGGGGCGGGCAGCCTCCCAGGCCCTCCAGTGCCACCTGTTCCTTCGCAGGGCTGCAGCTGCTGGACGTCCTGACGCGGCTGCGGTGAGTCCCCGCTCGCCGCTCCCCAAAGCCAGGCCCACCTTTCCCGGGCCCAAGCACCGCCTCCAGATGGGCAGGGTGGAGCTTCAGCGAGTAGCCCCAGCAGGCCTACGCCTCCTGGGGCTTGGTCCCTGTGAGGACCCAGCCTGCCATCCCTGGCACTGCTGGACGGGCCATTCTGCAGTTTCCCTGTCCCAGGGCTTGGTGGCCGCCCTTAGAAGCTAGGGTCACCAGATACAGGACAGGACTCTCGGTTGCGCCAGACCGTTGACAGGCAGCTGGTCACTTTGTTAGCGGAAGTGTATTCTAGATGTTGGCTGAGGCATACTTACGCTAAGTATGTTTCCTTGTTTGCCTGAAATCCAAATGTACACGGGTAGCCAGGAACCCATCAGGACCACTCTCCAGGGTGAGGCCCCCACCCCGAGGAGGTCGTCTTGGGGCAGGTCCGGGAGGGGGCCCCAGGAGGACAACCCAAGCTGGTGTGACGGGTCCTGAGCTGGCCTCAGGCAAAGGTCTGCTGGGTGCTGAGGGGCCGCCCTGCCACTGAGGGCGCAGCGCCCTGGCCAGGCTGAGATGATGGGCAAGTCCTGGGCTCAGTGAATGCTCAGGCTCCCACGGTCGGGCCAGATGCCTGGCCCTCCACACAGGGGCCCGGTGGACCCCCTCAGTGCTGCCCTCCCAGCACTGAGGGCCTGCCGTCCATGCAGGGCCACCTGCAGCATGTCCTCTTCGTCCCTCCCTGAGGGGTGTGTGGAGCTGCCAGCTGACCTGTGGGTAGATGGGCAGGAACCCCGGCTTGAATATGGAAGGTCGCCACCCCTGGCCAGGGAGCCCAGCCTGGACAGACCACAGCCCCCTGGCTGTGGCGGCCCTGGGCTCTCAGGGTGGTCTGCGTGTGCATCCAGGGAGGGGAGGCTGGTGGGAACAGACAGCTCAACCTGCCGGGTCCCTTCCGCTCAGAGACCTGGAGGATGGGGACCTACTGATCCAGCTCGAGACCTTCAGGGAGGCCAAGGCCGAGGATGAGGAGGAGCTGCTGCGAGTCTTCGGAGGCACAGACATCAACAGCCACCAGGAGGTCTTTGCTGCCCTCTTCCACAAGGTGGGCCAGGCTGGGACCCCTCCAGGGGTCTCAGGGCCCAGCAACGGCCGCCCGCCCTGCCCTGGGGCCTGGGGCCTAGGGCCTGGGTCACGTCCGGAGCTACATCCTGGGGCAGAGAGCAAGCGGTGGGGGCTGGAAAGAGGCACAGTCTGGGCCTACCCGGGGGCAGAGCAGGGGCCACAGGCCCCAGGAGGACAGGGTTCCAGAGGCCAGGCCTGCCCAGAGGTGGCTGCACTGTCCTGGGCCCCAGGGAACTTCAGGACTCGTGAGAAGCCAGGAGGATGAGTTCTGGTCCAGGTCAGGCCTGTCCATCACTGAACCCAGCAGCTCCCAGCTGGGGACCAGTGTCCCCAGGGACATCTGGAAACATCTGGAGACCTTTGGTAGGGGTGCTCCTGGCTTCAATGCACAGGCAGCCCCCATACGGTGACCTGGCCCCAGGTCGCCAGTGCAGCCACCGGGGACCCCTGACCCAGGCTCATCACCAGGGCCCCCACGGGGTGTCAAGTGGTGACAGGGGACGCTCCCAGGGAGGCCGGGGGTTACAGGCCCATCTGGGGAGGGGATGGCCATGACCCGCCCTCCTCGCCTGCCCCGCCCAGGTGAGCTGCTCCCCGGCGTCCGCACACCTGCTGTCCGTGCTGCAGGGCCTCCTGCACCTAGAGCCCACCCTCCGCTCCAGCCAGCTGCTCTGGGAGGCCCTGGAGAACCTGGTGAACCGGGCAGTGCTTCTGGCCAGTGACAGTGAGTGGACAAGGGAGGGGCGCCCTGCCCACAGCCCCAGCCCACATCCCCCTCCCTGACCCCAGCCTGGTGGGCAGACACTGGGTTCTCTGTGGGGGAAGGCTGCCATCCTTGGCCCCTAACTGCCTCCTGCGGGAGGGAGGGGACCACACCTTTCTTGCTGCCCTCTACCCTGACCTCAGATGTCCCCACCCCAGCCCAGGAGTGCACCCTGGAGGAGATGGTCGAGCGGCTCCTGTCCCTCAAGGTGCGGCCCCGTCCACGTTCCCTGGACAAGGCCCACAAGAGCATCCAGGTTGACCTGGGCCAGAGTCGCAGGGACAGCTCCCCCCAAAACACGGGTGCACCGAAGGCAGGTGTGGAGGGCCCGCAGCCGGTGGCGGCCCCCGTCAGCCTGCCTGTTGCCGGCGACCAGAGCGAGAGCGACATGATGGCCCCGCAGCCGACAGCCCCAGGGCAGCAGGAGCCCGCCCCACTCTCACCTGCGCCCCACCTCCCTGGTTCCACTGCCGGCTCCCCTCCTCCTGCCCCCCCACCCCCACC